ATCTGCTGCAGGTGTCAATATTATCCTAACGACACTCCAAATGCAGTGTGTTTGCCTGCACTGGATTGCATGGTACCTACATGCATTCATTTTGGTGCAGTCCAGTGTGGTTTCAGCTCATTCAAATGAATGGGCTGAAAATCACACTGCATCGAGTCATACAGAAATGTGAACCACATTCCTATGTGATTCAGGTGTTAACTGGACCTCAATCCAGAAGGCAGTGTGCAGGACTGGTTGTGGTCAGGTGCTGATTGACAAGCTTGGGAATCAGCAGTAACAATGCTAATAACCATATTCCCCTGCATCATAATTTCATTACACTGTAGTTTAAGAAGGCACAGCCTACATGAGGATGACAACACTGCTCTAATATCAGAAGCAGTGCAGCATTGCTGCCGAATCATCACAGGAAGCCACTTATAATTAGGTGCTACAACACACATTTGTTTTAATGGGAGGCTATAGTTCTACTTTAAAATGATACTAAAAGCAGGGCTCAAAATTTCCAATCGCCTGCTAGCATTTGGATAGTGGAAATAACGTGGGGGGCGATTGTGTCTAAGACACATTGCACTGATGGAGGAACACTCTATCCCCCAAGTCAGCGGGATCTCTGCAGACTGTCCCCTACACACAATCAAAAGTGGCCAGATCCTCCAGTTCCCTCCCTGAATGCCTGGCAGAGAGAAGTTGAGCAGAGCTCAGGGCACACATGACATACTCCGGACTGTCAGTCTCTCCAGGGCCCCTGATCCTCCTCCTCCCCCCCCGGCCCTATGTGTGTTCACTTTGTGTGCCGGGGCAGAGCCTGGAGTGGAGCTTGGTGTGGGCTGGATGCCTCCATTAGACTCCCGTCAGATACTTCTACATACAGGCAGTCAGGGCTGCTGTTGAAAAACACGGGGCCCCCTACAGCCAACCTGACGGCCCCCCCCCCCAAAAAAAAAAAAATGATGGGTGCAGTGGGAAACAAATACTGGAACCGATCCCCTGTATTGCTCTCTCTTCAGCAACTGAAAGCCAGTGAGAGTGAGAGGAGAAGAAGCCAGCTTTCAGCTGCTGCAGAGAGAGCCATACAGGGTATCAGGTCCAGTAATGCCTCCTTGCCCCCCCCACCACCATCATCCTCTCTGCCCACATCAGATTCACCCAGCTGCCTGGGACCCCCTGCTGGCCTGGGCCCCTTATAGGAGGACAAGTGGAACCCCCTTATCCACGGCCCTGCAGGCAGTGGACAGTACAGGATTGCCGCTCGCCTTCTCCCCAGGTAACAGTGGCATCGCTACAGGGGGGCAATAGCCCCCCTAGGTTATTCCCTGCCCCCTGTATCATGTCTGGAGTCTCTGACCGTCTCCTGTATCAGGTCTGCAGTCCCTGACCTGTATCAGTCCAGTCCCAGACCGTCTCCTGTATCAGGTCTGCAGTCCCAGACCGTCTCCTGTATCAGGTCTGCAGTCCCCGTCTCCTGTAGACCGTCTCCTGTATCAGGTCTGCAGTCCCAGACCGTCTCCTGTATCAGGTCTGCAGTCCCAGACCGTCTCCTGTATCAGGTCTGCAGACCGTCTCCTGTATCAGTCCGTCCCAGACCGCTCCTTTATCTGGTCTGCAGTCCCTGACCGTCTCCTTTATCAGGTTTGCAGTCCCTGACATCTCTCCTTTATCAGGTCTGCAGTCCCTGACCGTTTATGTATCAGGTCTGCAGTCCCTGACCGTCTCCTGTATCAGGTCTGCAGTCTCTGACCGTCTCCTGTATCAGGTCTGCAGTCTTTGACCGTCTCCTGTATCATGTCTGCAGTCTGACAGTCTCCCTGTATCATGTCTGCAGTCTCTGACCATCTCCTGTATCATGTCTGCAGTCTCTGACCATCTCCTGTATCATGTCTGCAGTCTCTGACCATCTCCTGTATCATGTCTGCAGTCTCTGACCATCTCCTGTATCATGTCTGCAGTCTCTGACCATCTCCTGTATCATGTCTGCAGTCTATGACCTTCTACTGTTGTACATATGCAGTCTCTGACTATCTCCTATATGTCTGACTGTTTACGGGTGGGGCAGGGTAGGGGGTGAGAGGGGCAACTGGTGGCGAGTAACTCTTAAGGCTACTAAAGCTCAGGACTTTAAATTTTGAGCCCTGCTAAAGGCATTTTTTTAAGTAAAAAAAATTTACACTTACCTGCTCCAGACAACGATACTTCAAAGAAAGTTAGCTTACCTCCTCTTCTGGAAGTTTCTACTAACGCTGTTGGCTCCTCCCTCCTTGAGGTGCCTCCTATAACAAACCTGATTCTAAGGAGGCACCCATGCATGCGCACTCTCACTGGATCCTGAGCCAGGCTGTGCACATCTATAGACACACACAGCACTGGTAAGCCACGCCTTTGCTCTATCCTTACAGGAGTTTGACTGATGGCAGCAAGAGCTATGGCTTCACTGTCCTCAAATTCTCCTATGAAAGCAGGATCTGATAGGATCAGGGGGGTAGGTCTAGACGTGAAAATAAGTGTAAAAATAAGTTTACACTTTAGAACCAACTTAAAGTAGTGGGAAAGGATAACTGCAATCTGGCATTTAATCATTTCCTATTTTGGCCCCTCATCACAAATCATTGTGTACATTTTTTTCCTGTAGTGGGCTTTACATGCGTTCCTGTGCCTGGAAAGCTTTGGGTCCTCACTGTAATGCGGAGGGCCAACAAGGATAAAATGAATAAAGCAGTGAAGTCACCCACCAGCATCCACGACTCTTTCATTGAGGGGAAGAAGAGTCTCCTACCACCAGCCACACCACTAAAAAAAAAGTACTTGCACAGTGATTTGCAAAGAACATGAAGGGATATGTGGAGAAAATGGGAGGGAATATTTAAATGTCATATTGTTAGTTAGCCTTTCCTTCTACTTTAATAACATAGTTAAAAGAGAGTAATAGTCAGATTCCAGTTTAATCATACTAATGAAACAGGATTCTTGATTATTTGGTACAGTCATTTGTGCCAACATAGCATTAAGCTACACCTCTAAGTACTGTATTACGGTTACTGGTTAAGAGCAGATTATGAATGTATGGGAAGAGAATAACTTCACCACCTGAGACTTTTTATTTCAGTTACAGCTATAAAAATCTAATGATTCTTGTTCCTGAAGTCCTGAAGCGTTTAATGTCTCAACAATTAAACTAGGTTTACGCCAGTGGAATTTTTTATTAGCACTTTTGATATGTGCTTGTTTTGGCATGGTATCTTTGCATGGGCTTGGAGTTTTATATTAAATAGTAAAAGCCTGAAAATCATGGTGGTTGCACGAATAAAGAAAAGCATTTAATTTAGTCTCCATTTGATGTGTTACAGAAGAAAAGAGCCAAACACTGTTATTAAGAAATGATTGCATATTATTAACGATCCCCCCAGCTACATGTAGCTACATTCCCAGGATATCACAAGGTTTATAATGTTGGATTAAGTATGGCAGACACAAATTAATAAGTAAATGGCTGCCACAGAAGATGAATAAACGCTTAGATTATCCATAAGTGTGCTAAACTGTGAAGTATTTGTATCATTGGTGTTCAAAGTTCTACTTTGCAGCCTTAGCAGCTTCATGTTCTGTAACTACAGCTCAGAGGAGGTGATGGGGTCTGCACAATACACCATAGGGATTAATGTGGGCGATGGGATCTGCACAATACAGTATACTGGCAAGTAATAGCTTTGTGATGGTCACCCTGAGACAGGTTACTTCTCACCATTACAAGCAATTCTCATTTTATACATGTACGCAACCGAGAAATTCTTCATCCGTCAAAAGCACTCTTAAAAACTATACAGAAGGTTAATTTTTTTTATTATCTTGTGAGGTTGATTTACTAAAGTGGTGCAGCTCTGCATGGTAGCCAATCAGCTTCTAAAGGGCCCTTTGACACTTATCAGTTTTTTTCTTCCAAATTTGTCTTACCAAAAGCAGAAGAAAAATGCATGACCATTAAATCCTATGGATTTTCACACCAGTCAGTTGCAGATCAGTTGCATTTTTGTTGTGTGTTTGGTGTGGTAAATAAAATGCAATAAAAACGCACCTCCCAACTGAAATGAATGGAAAACGCATCAAAAAGCACCTGAAGTTGCATTTTTTTGTGTGTTCTTTAGTCATATGTCTTTTTTTTTTTTTTTTTTTTAAAGTGCAATACGCACTGAAAACACAGCAAAAACACATATGCTTTTTAGTCGTGTTTTTACAGCACAGTAGTCTAAAATCAGCCTGTTCCGTTAAGTTTTGACAAAAAAAGCCTGGAAGCAGATTAGTTTCTCTGCAGAGCTTCACCAGATTTTGCACTCTCCAGAGTGGGAATATTTTAGCATCCAGTTTAGAAGTCACAGAAGCCAAACATTATAAACATCCCCAAGAGATAAATAGGTCCCAAAGAGCGTGACTATGGTGCACATTTAAGGCAAGAGGTTCTTGCACATTATAACACCAAAATAGCGGAGGTCAACTTAAGTCTTCATGTATAATTCAAAATAGCTTTTCCTGCGTGTATACAAAAAGAAACCCATAGCACTTTTAATATAGATTGTGTTTTTGGAGGTAATTGAACAATAATGGCATGAATAAGGTTTAGAACCACACAGCAAGACGACTTTGACACGGTACTCCAAGCAATTATATACCAACAATGTCTTGCACTATAAAACACAATAAGCAAAAAACCTCAAATGAAAAAGGTTAATCACTTCTTTTTTCTGTCAGTGGAAATTAGTTTAGATGTCTTAAACGTGTAATAGAAATTAATTGTTCACAAAACAAGGGATGTTTGGCTCACACATCGTATTATTATTCAAGCCTTCATCGGATGTGCAGATCAGGCATATATTTTATTCAAGCCTTTTAGGATCAGTCTGCTAAGCAAACTGATTTTAAAGGGCTTGCGTAAATGTTACGTTTTGGGTTTGGGATTAATGTGTGAACTGCACATCACATGGCAGGAGAAAACAAATATACATTACCTGAATGTATTTTCTTTGTGTTTCATCGTTCAAAACATGGGCTACATGTTTGGAGAAAATCTTTTCACGTCCAGTACGAGCGTGGATACCAACCATAGTTACACCAATAGGCCAAGGAGCATTGCCAATAGCCATCTGAAGATAGGCATCATTTGCCTGTGATTAAGCAAACAAAAGAACTGGAAACATCAGACTGCTCAACATTTAAGTATCTAAAACAAAAGTTTGAAATCACCATAAACTGGTTTTATTAACTAGCCAGGTAAGTTAAATTTAGGGGCCACATATACGCACACACACAAGCACTCAAAGCAGGTACTAAACTGATTGATAACTTTCAGAGCACCTCAGTTGTGAACCATCCCATGAAACCTATTTTTGGCATTTTCCCCAGACAGTTACTACAAGGTCTTGTTCATTGTTACTCTTGTGGTTTCACTTGGGCACAAAGGCCAAGCTTAAGCTGATAAACTGATACAAAAGAAAATACAGTTTACGGTTATCAAAACACCTGATGACTAAATATAGTTGTTATTCCAAAACTGCTAAACTCATATGGAGCTCACCACAAAGAGCTATAGTACACTTCTGATGTAGAGTGCACTATGACTGCAGGTATTGTGTTATTTCAGTTTATCTGCTACATTGTATTAAAAGTATATCACACCTGTCTGAAAGAGCAATTAAAAAGGCTCCAAATGCTGCATGATGAGCAGTCAAATATCACTGCAGTAAAAAAAACAGTAACAGTTCTTTCTTTCACATTTGGGTCTACAACATATTGGGTCTATACAATTTTTTGCTAATACAGCTCAAGTAAGGAGAGATACTGATATGTTGCTACATTACTATGCTGCTGTTAACCAACACAGACAATGAAGTCAAAGCACACCACTTACCTTTACGTATTCTCTTTGTAACATGTATTTTATTATATCTGTTATTGATTCTTTTATATCCGCAGGAAGGTTCTGTGTTGAAAGAAAATAAATTGCATACAATTAAAAATAAATATTGTATGCATTTTCAGTTTGCTGATTCATTATCAGATAAGAGCCATCGCATCATATGTGGTCAGGATTGCTCATCTTTCTCTAATTTTTTGCCCGCTTGTTTCAACAATGGATACATAATAATAATACAGAATATAAAAGGCTTGGTTCCCTTTTATCCTGGACTGTTCTGTTCCTTGGTTAATCAAGCCAACACTACAGCACAGTTTCCAGCTGTGGAGATAAGCCCTACCCATCTATGAAGCACTGGTAATAAACAGGTAATCAGACTTGTAAAGTGGGTTCCCCATCTATTTCTGTTCTGAGGACATTACATTTTGGATTTCCCATCATATTCTGAGGTACAGTGGTCATCAAACTAAATAAAGGGATAACACTTCCACACTATATTGAAAAGGAAAAAATAGATCCTTCTGTATAATAGCATCTCAAAATCTGCTATAGACATTTAACAGCTGTTGGACAATAGCAATACTTTTCTAATAGGCCATCACACAGCTCCACATAGTTGCATTGTACGAGCATGCATAGATAACTGTGCAGCTGATGTTGTTACAGGGGAACAACAAGTCAAATTAGTGATCAGCAATTCTAGGCTGTGCAGCTGCCTGCAACTGCAAGGCCCAACATGCCATGAAAACCAAAGACCATCCATACGAATGGAAAAAGTGAACAATTTATGTTGATTATAGGAAGTGCACAAGAGATGGCAAGGCCCTGGCTGAATGTTTACAGGCCAAGTTGACCAGAGGCATCTGCTATTATCAAAAACAAATTGAAGAGATCTAGTGATGAACTCAAATGGCAAGGTGTCCTAAAACTGATACACATAAAAACTAGTGCAGCTGTGCATAGTAACCAATGAGCTTCCAGATTTTATTGCCAAAGCTTAAATGAACAGGCTGAAGTTAGAAACAGATTGGTTTGCACAGCTGCACCAATTTTAGTAAATCTTCCCCCAAATGTCTTTAGATACCTTTATTGAAGTAGTAATGCAGGCATAAACCTAACAGATTATGACACAATTAACTTTGTGTTTGAGTTTTAGCTCCAAATAAGTTTTAATACCCGCTGCCAACACACTAGATACATGCTTCTACCTGCACAGAAATTGTTTCCCGATAAAATACCTGCTAGTTGCCAAAAACTAGTTTCCTGTGGAAATCACCTTCAAATGATTCATTCCCTTTCACTGAGCATTATATATTTTCAATTAATATCATTCCTTTGGCTTTGGTACTGCACATCCTAAAACCGAAAACAATCCTAGCTACATAGAATTGGAGTCATCATTTAGATACGATTAACCCCTCTGGTGCTGAATGACTACACACGCTACCTATATGGAAAATGTGCAATCCCCATAGTACATTTTTATAACCCTAGTGTATATACTGCACATTAGTAATAATACTAATGAAAATAATAAATTAATTTTGATGTTTGACATGTAGATAAAGAAACACACAATACAGTAGATACTAAGAAAAATATATTTAAACAGGTGAAGTGGTCTACATAGCACAGCTATCAACATCTCTGCTGAGTTTCACCTTCTGTCAGCACAATGAATTGCGCCTTGTAAACCACCCTTAAGTGTGGGTTCACACTTGTGCGGTATGGTATACCACATGTGATTCGCACAGGAACCGTGCAAATCACATGCGAATTGTGTGCGGTGCGACTGGAGACACACATTTTGCATGGCTCAAATCGCACCGCATCAAAAAGGTGCAGGACCCTTTTTTTTGGTCCGCACTAGAATCCGATTGCATGGGTATTCACACCTATGCGATCCGGTTCTGCACATCGCAATGCGTTTTGCGGACCAATTTCTTGGTGTTAACATACACACCCACAGTGGTTCGCATGAACGGGGTGTGATTGTGATGCGGTACGGAATTCACACAGAAAACGCTGTGAATTTCGCACCGCGTTAGTGTGAACCCAGGCTAAAGGTGGAAAAGCTGGACTCTGACTGCCAGTGATCTTCAAGCTTTACTTCAATCAGTGTTAAAAAGAAAGATTACCTGAAATATAAACATCAAGTTATACTGGGGGAAGCTGAAGAATGAAAATGCAGGTGTAAAAGTGGTGTCATTTTGTAAAGCGCTGCGCAAACTGTTGGCGCTATATAAATCTTGTATAATAATACTAATTCCATAATGATAAAAGCTGTCAGTACGAAAACATTTGTAAGATAACAAGATAGCACACAACCAGCTAATACAAATCCATCAACCTGTGCTGGTCTGTCTTCTAATTAGACTAAAGAAGCCCTGCAATAAGAGCAATGCTGAGGCTGCCACTGCTGACTTCTTTCTGAAAATGCTTAGTAGTCTGTGGTGTCAACAATTTCTGACACCTTACTGGTGAATTCTCAGAAGAATGGAGAACTGCGGGAGTGCTTTATTGCTCTGGCAAATGTCTAGTGACAGACAGATTACCAAGAAAAGCATTTTGTAACCTGCAGGGGTTTTATACACAAATGAGGCTTTAGATGGGCTTTAAACAGTGATCAAGAGGGAGAACAGTACTTGCATAATTGTGTGCATCAGCATATACACTGCTCAAAAAAATTAAAGGGATACTTTGAAAACACATTAGATATCATTGGGGAAAAATATCATGCTGGATATCTATACTGATATGGACTGGATGATGTGTTAGGAACATAAGGATATCATATTGTTTGATGGAAATGAAAATTATCAAGCTACAGAGGACTGAATTCAAAGCCACCCCGTAAATGAAAGTGGAAAGATTATACAGCAGGCTAGTCCATTTTGCTGAAATTTCATTGCAGCAACTCAAAATGGTACTCAGTAGTTTGTATGGCCCCACATGCTTGTATGTATACCTGACAACATCGTGGCATGCTCCCATTGAGATGGCAGATGGTGTCCTGGGGTATTTCCTCCCAGATCTGGACCAGGGAATCACTGAGCTCCTGGACAGTCTGAGGTGCAACCTGGTGGCAGCGGATGGACCGAAATATGATGATATCCCAGAGGTGTTCTGTTGGATTTAGGTCAGGACAGCATGGGGGCCATTCATTGGTATCAATTCCTTCATCCTCCAGGAACTGCCTGCATATTCTTGACACATAAGGTCGGGCATTGTTGTGCACCAGGAGGAACCCAGGACCCACTGCTCCAGCGTAGGGTCTGACAATGGGTCCAAGGATTTCATCCCGATACCTAATGGAAGTCAGGGTGCCATTGTCTAGCCTGTAGAGGTCTGTGCATCCCTCCATGGATATGCCTCCCCAGACCATCACTGATCCACCACCAAAACAGTCATGTTGAACGATGTTACAGGCAGCATAATGTTATCCACGGCGTCTCCAGACCCTTTCAAGTCTGTCACTAGTGCTCAGGGTGAACCTGCTCTCATCTGTGAAAAGCACACGGTGCCAGTGGCGGGCCTGCCAATTATGGTGTTCAATGGCAAATGTCAATCGAGCTCTATGGTGCCAGGTAGTGAGCTCAGGGACCACTAGAGGACGTCAAGAACTCAGGCCACATTCATGAAGTCTATTTCTGATTGTTGGGTATAGACATTCACACTAGTAGCCTGCTGGAGGTCATTTTATAGGGCAGTGCTCATCCTGTTCCTCCTTGCACAAAGGCGCAGATACCGGTCCTACTGATGAGTTAAGGACCTTCTGCAGCCCTGTCCAGCAAACCTTCTGGCAATGGAATGTATTGATGTGTCATCCTGGAGGAGTTGGACTGCCTGTGCAACCTCTGTAGGGTCCAGGTATTGCTTCATGCTACCAGTAATGACACTGACCCTATCCAATTGCAAAACTAGTGAAAAATAGTCAGAAAAGATGAGTAGGGAAAAAATGTCAGTAGCCTCTACCTGTAAAATTATTCCTGTTTTGGGGGTCATCTCATTGTTGCCCATCTAGTGCACCTGTTGTTAAATTCATTCTTATTAACAACTTTAACAACCCCCTCTGCAACTTATCTTACCATATCAATATCCCTGGAGTTTAACTGACTTGATTCTATACTCTGATAAAAAAAAAAATACACAAATACACACACACTATATTGTCAAAAGTCTTGTGACGCCTGCCTTTACACGCACATGAACCTTAATGGCATCCCAGTCTTATTCAATAGGGTTCAATATTGAGTTGGCCCAACCTTTGCAGCTATAAAAGCTTCAACTCTTTTGGGAAGGCTGTCCACAAGGTTTAGGAGTGTGTCTATGGGAATGTTTGACCATTCTTCCAGAAGCACATTTGTGAGGTCAGGCACTGATGTCGGACAAGATATTCTAATTCATTCCAAAGGTGTTCTGTCGGGTTGATGTCAGGACTCTGTGCAGGCCAGTTACGTTCCTCCACCCCAAACTCGCTCATCCATGTCTTTATGGACCTTACTTTGTGCAGTGGTGTGCAGTCATGTTGGAACTGGAAGGGGCCATCCCAAACTGTTCCCACAAAGTTGGGAGCATGAAATTGTCCAAAATGTCTTGGTATGCTGACGCCTTAAGCGTTCCCTTCACTGGAAGTAATGGGGCCAAGATCAACCCCTGAAAAACAACCCCACACCATAATCCCTCCTCCGCCAAACTTTACACTTGGCACAATGCAGTCAGGCAAGTACCATTCTCCTGGCAACCGTCAAACCGACTCTTTGCATTGTACCTGGTGATGTAAGGCTTAGATGCAGCTGCACAGCCATTGAAACTGAAGGCCACATGGAGTTTGGAGGTCTTTAGTTATTGACTCTGCAGACAGTTGGTGACTTCTGCGCACTGCGCGCTTCAGCATGTTCTGACCTGCTCTGTCATTTTACATGGTTTACCATTTCGTGGCTGAGTTGCTGTTGTTCCCAGTTGCTTCCACTTGTATAAAACCACTAACAGTTGACCGTGGAATATTTAGTGGCAAGGAAATTTCATGGATGGACCTATTGTACAGGAGGCAACCTAACATGGTATCTTGCTTGAAGTCATTGGATTCCTGAAAGCGACCCATTATATATGTGTATATGTATATATGTGTGTGTGTGTATATATATATATATATACACAAATATACATATACACACACACACACACACACACACATACACATATATATATATATATACACACACACACACACACACACACTTTTTTTTCTTTACCTTGTGACCCAGCTCTTCCATCTCAATCAAACCTGTCAAATCCTTCTGTAATTTACTGAGCAACATTACAAAAAAAAGTGTAAATAATAATGTTTGTTTGAAATGGTAGCGTAAACCATGAGAAGGTATTATTGGGCAGAACAACTCCAACATTTTATTCCTCACCTTTTTGCGCAATTTTCTAAAAAGTGGTTTCAAGTATGATTCCGTTTGCTTCTGTGTGGCACTTGCCAGTTTACCATGCACACTGCGTTTTACATAGTCCTCTCTTGCATTCAACTCCTTTGCCCAAACACCTAGAAGGAACTAAACAAGGATTCTGTTTACTCCACATCACCATCTAGAGGGCAACTGAAAGCATGCAATCATATTTTAAGTGAAAGAAAAAAAAAAAAATCACACAGCTAGAAGATACTGAACCTAAAAACAAGAATATAAGTTTGGAGGTATCCAAAAAATCTGAGATGAGTAGGTAATACTAAAATAATTTTATTGAGCTAATAAAAAGGTAAAGAAAATACACATCAGCAGTGTTTACAGAGAAATGTAAACATCATTGATTTTTTCAGTTTAGTAAAGTATATTCCCTATACATTCTGTAGTAAGCACCCCCCTGGTAGTGTCAGTTATTTATTTATTTCAAAGTATAGCTACCCCCTCCCCACACACAGTTTTTTTTTTTTTGGGAACGCTACCTCCTTGCAGGCTTGCGAGCAGACAGCATTTCTACTAGGACTATGGGAGGGTGTCAGTTAGGATTATGTGTGAGAATATGATTACCTTTAAAGTCCCATAACATTTTTCAAGTAATAAAACTAAATCATATATTCATTGAGCAGAATAAGGACTGCACTACAATTGGACTACACTTTAAAAAGATCAGTGACACCTGCTCAGTTGAGCCCCTATGAACATCATCCCAACATGCCAAGCTAAACAAGAGTCAGCCATGTCAGCTGTCACTTAATAATATAAGGATGCAGGAAAAGGAAAGCACCTATTAGGCTGGCCATACATTATACAATTATCTGCAGATTTTCTGCCCAATTTCCTTTAGATTTACCTTCAACTATGTAGTGCAAGGGCCTGCCTAATTGGATACAACTGAAAGTGTTGTTTAGGTTTGTCCTCCTATTATATGGTTTTTGGTGAAATCTAAACCAAAAATCTGCAGATAATTGTATAATGTATGGCCAGCCTTAGTTCTGGCAAATAGCATATGCCAACGAGCAGTTCTGAAGTCAGAAACTTATTATAACTGCAAAGTGTGGGCTCTCCTACACACACCTGTCCAAATTTGAGTTGTAAGAAGCAGTCTGCACAGCTGAGTATCATATATCACATTCATACTCTAATGAGTAAGCCTTTAATAAAAAGTCAATCACGCATGATCAGGCAGACATCCTCTAGCTATATTTACCTTTAAGACTTTATTAATGATATCCATATCTTTGTTGTCATTTCCTTGTCCAAGACACTCTCCCAAAGCCTGCATCACAAAGACAACAATTAATATTTTTACAGCAGTAAACCAAAATGCTATACAATAAATCTGCCATTTTGGTGAAGGTAAGAGACTGGGTTTTCTGTACTAATGCAGAGACGTGCTAAAAGAGTTAAATATCAAAATTAGTTCCAGCTGATACAAAGACTGCTTCCCATCGCATAATGTAGTTAAAGCACTATTCATTTCAAACACCTGTTGTAGCTATTCTGGACGTCATTCAAATCCCACTTTCCAGATGTTTGTATAAAATATGTGCAGTTCTCCACTGTGAGAAGCCTGACGCCTTCTGGAAGGGTTTAAACCTTTCACTCAGAGCAGAATGTCTTCAGAGGTGTGTTTAAATAAAAAAAAAGATACCCTTGTGGATTTAAATGCCTTTTTTACAGTGAAACAAGGACAGAAAAAAGGGGAAAGCTTGAAACTAGTGCATTCAATCTTAAACTGAAGTATGTCTTATTCCTGGCAACATTGGTATTATTAGTTACAACACAGTCCACATTTTATACATTGTTTATTTGTAAAGTCACAACTTTTTTTTTAGTTTTCAATACACTTTGGAAGGGTTAGAACCTCCTTCTGTATATTTTTGCTGTCTGTGTCCCCCCTGTTGAGACTTAACCCCTCTATTCTAGTCACCATTTTCTCTGGTACAGAGCGTGATAGGAAATCTATTTCTGAGAAGGAGAAGGAAAAATGTCCCACCAGGTAAACCTGTTCTGGCGACAACTGAATATTCCCTCATGTTGGAGATCTTCTCTAACTTTCTGCTGTGTCTTCTATGGGAAGTAAAGGCAAATCTCACAGATGTTACATGAACAGAATTAAAAAACTGATCACAAACTTTACTATTCCCAGCTATTTTCAAAACTACAAAAGTTTAGGTAAAACTTGTATCCCAAAAGGAAAAAAAAATGCTGCTGTAAATGCTTTAAAAAATGATAGTTCGATTTAATTTGTTAGTGCTTCTATCGCTACCCTCTTTCCAGACTGGCAATGCTGCTGTCTGAACATGTCTTATCCTCTATTCATTAGAGTGGATACACTCTAAGGCTGGCCATACATTATACAATTTTTTTGTACAATTTTCCTTTAGATTTACCAAAACCATATAATATGAGGTCAAACTTAAATGCTTTCAATTTGCATGCTATCAGGCCGGCCCTTGCACTACATAGTTGAAGGCAAATCTAAAGGAAATCGAATAAGAAAATTGTATAATGTGTAGCCAGCTTAAGACAAGAAGTGTGTACTGTCTGGATTCTCAATAAACAGAAGTTGCACTATAGCTCCTATTAATGCAATGTGATCAATAAAAGAAAGGTCTGCCTCCTCCACTTATAATTTTTCATGAAAAGCTATAGCACAGACTCTATGATTAAAGAACGTGAGCGGAAAGAGTGGGCATAGTTGGCACTCTTGATGAATGCACACGACAGGTCTCGTAGCAGGGCTGGGGAGGATCAGAGGAAGAATATTTCAACTATAGCAGGAGTCAGCAGCACAAGGAACACATGGCATTTATTGTAAGCAATGTCCAGTGCTGATACATATTTTTTTTTACTAAAAAGTAGGTAATAATACTACTTTAATGTAGTGATAGACTCCCTCATACATGTAATCATGTGTCATACATAGTAAAAAAGTATACCTTATGGTGCCACTCCAAGTTTTGGATGGAAGGAAAAGGATCGCCCCACCAGGAAGTGAGAAGAAGGGTGCATGAGTTTGAGTGATTCCAGTGTCAGCCTATACAAATGAAGGGATGGACACTGCTCAACCAACCCCAGGAGTCCTATGTTGAGGAATGGACTCAGCTGCCAATCTGGCCACACCCTCTGAAGTGGTTTTCCCCGTCCACCTCTGTGACCAAGCCCCCCGTTGGGTGGGGTGAAACTCATCAGAGGGTGTGGCGAGAACAGCAGCTGAGGCCATTCCTCAACACTGGTGTAGGTTGAGCAGTGTCCATCCCTTCATTTGCATGTGTCATACATAGTTTCACTTTAAGCTTTACATACATTTAACTTTCCTAATGTTCAGAATCCAGTTTAATTCATTTATTTTTCAAACAAGAGAGTTAAACTGAAGAAAATAAATGAACAGGCCACTATGGGAAATACAATTTTTCTTAACGTTTTAAAGAACAAATCACCCAGTTTGAGCTGCATTGCACACTTAGTTATTTTTAAGCTTCCAGCAGCTAGTTATGAGCATTTTTTTCTACGCCTAGAAGCAAATAGTGTTATCCTATGTGTCTATGCACACTATTGTAGGCTAAAAGCATTTTTCAAGCTTCAGCTTCAAGAAGCAAAAAAAACAACTCTTTTTGGGGAGCAATTTTCCAACAGAAAAAAATGCTGAACACTCCTAAATGCTCATAACAGCTTTTTTCCCCTTACACTGTACTGTAAAAAATGCTAATGCCCCTAAACACTTCCAAAAAAAATGCTCTCACCTGTGTTTTTTATCCAGCATTTTTTTTAGCTTAAGCATAGAGCCTTAAGCTTTAAATTTACAGATAGAATTTCTTCTTTAGAGACCACTGGAAAAATATATCTAATTTAATGTTTACTTTCACTGTTTACAACTTTATAGAGACTCTTGGAATATGCTTCCTCTTATGTATTTAGGGGAAATCTACATGTCTTATGCCATTACACAAAACCATTATATCAATATCTTCAGTCTTTAGAATACATAAGAAAAACACTCCTCAGCAATTCTCCAGTACAGAAGTCATTCAACATCCTAAATGGCAACAAAGCTGTGAACAGCAAAGTGTATGTATGAACTTTTATGGGAGAAATCTCCATATTCTGTTCCAATATTTGGGTGAGAAATAAGTTAAAGATAATGTGTCCTAATATCATTGTTGGCAGTCAGTTTCCTCAGCAGGGCCTTATTTCACCTCTGTGTAATCATCCATAAAACAGTCCAGAGACCATCATGAATCAAGAGAAGAGACGAATATGGAACTTTACTGATGTAATGGTTCTTGGAAGGGGTTAGTCCTCATAAAAATTAAACATCTGTTTCAGCTAAAACAAGAGGTGTAGTGAATAGCAATTGTCACCCAAAAAAAGCATCAGAGCAACATCAACCCTGTAAAGGTATGTACGCAAGAAGCTACATCAGTCTTGGTATGGTGTACCTAATTTGACTGCATACATTTACATGGAATAGGAAAAAGATCAGTAAAACAGCACTGAATAAATGTCATGAGACAGGAAGCCAACATGCCTAAAATACAACCAGTACCTAACTTTTTAAACATACCAGGCTTTGGATTTTCTTTTCAAGTAATTTTTATTAGAAACTTTACACAAAAAAAAGATATTATGGTATAATCAGAGATTTTACAAAAGGAAAGCTTAGTAGTGCAATAGCAGACAGGTAAAATATTAAGTGGGTGGTGGCGAGGAAGTGGGGGGGGGGGGGGTTTAGAACAGAAAAGCATCAAAGTCTTTTCATCTGATGATTTAAAAAGTCAATCAACAATTTCCAGCATGGAAGAATACTTTATAATTAATATATGATATCACTGAGATGGCAGAGAGCAATCTTGAAACAACAGCCATTGGGTAACAATAAACAGCAATAAAGGTCTCCCCCTGTTGCAGTTTTACTATCTAATGTATCTAAATGGGCAAGACTGCCTGGATACCAAAAGAGAGCTTGGGTATTTGGGAATCTAGGAGGGAAGGTAAAAAGAAAGGATTGAAGGGACAGTAAAAGGAAAATAAAGGGAGGGGGATGGTAGGCAGATGCTAAAATAAATGCAGGCCCAGGGGATCCCTGCAGCACAACCTCAAAATCCTGTTGTAGTAAATCTGCATGCTGAACGGACAAGAAAGTCTTGTAGGTATGGACATCACTACGTGGAAGAGGAATATACAGTATGTACCCATAGGCTGTAGAAGATTTGCATATGTAGGAGTGTATGTAAACAGGAGATAACTGGTCCAGGTGTACAGATTTAGGGACAAATTGTCCTGACATATGAGAAACAGTTCATCCATTTAAGCTAAAAAGCTGATACATGGGAACAATTCTTGTGTGGTTGGTGGGTGGGAGTATTAGTAGAGCATTTGATCTGCTCTACATGATGGTCAGTACAATGGATAAAGATTTGCGCTGGGTGCAAAACGTAAGGTGCAAGCAGTGATATCAGCAATAGGAGTGTGCATTGCTGACCAGACTAGTTAAATCTAGGAACAGGACCACCAGATATGCAAGAAGGTGCAACGAACCTCTAGGACATCTCCAACAGTTGTTGAGTATCTTTTGGGAGATATGGTGGAGCAGTACAGGGGTAGAATGGGGCAAATGGAATCTGCAATCTGTTTCTTAAAAGTTAACATCAACAGATCCTTTAAGCATGTATTTATGTGTTCCCATTCATCATTGAGAATTGTTGGGCTACATCTGTACTAGAAATTCCATGTCTTCTACGGGTGGTGTGAAAGGTCTTTAAAGTTGAATTCTGGGGAAAGCAAAAATCCTGCCTTGCAGTGGGGCTGCGCCTACACTGTAGGGTTAAATGCTTGTTTATGCCTAGGGTACCAGAAAAAGCACTTTTCGTATCTAGTCCCCACTTCCACATTCTACCCCCATGCTGTAAGACCAACACCTACAATCTCCTTTTCCCTATGCTCCAGCTGTAGCATTCCCTCTGGTGTAATCAATTGCATGCAGACCCCATAGCCCTGCTTAGGATGTGAGGATGCTAAAAGGACAGTCCACAAGTCGGAGAGTAGGTAGAAATAGGAGAGTGCTGTCTGCTGGTGGAGTGGGTTATCAGGTAGATAAAACTGCTTTTTCCAGTACCTAGACATTTAACCCTTGCAGTGCAGGGGGACCCCCCTCTCAGAAAGGAATTTGTTTTCCCCAGAGATAGGCTTTAAAGTTGTTCTTATGGTTGGGTGGGTGACAGCGCTAGGGCAGAGGTAATGTTTCCTAATCCATGGTGCATATTTGATCTGAGGTTCAGAGAATAGTTGTTCTATATGGATCCAATCTTTATTGTGCTTGTGGTAGGTCATTTATTTTTAAAAATGGCTACCTGTCCAAACCAGCGGAATGCTTAGGTCCAGTTAAAGATGAGTGAGGACCTTGGGGTGAATAATGTCAGGTGGTTGTATTTCAACAGAAACATGAAGATTTTCACTTGCCTCTGGGAAAAGGCTGAGGGAATCAGAGGTTGCAGATTGAGGTTGTAGAACTGTTCATAGCAGGTCTTGAATTAGGAGGCTAAGCTTTCTGATGCAGAATGCATTTCTATTATTTTATATGGTTCACAGAACACTTTTCTGTTTAGTGGCTCTAGCCAGGCTTACAAAATGTTATTTGTCCATCCTCGAGTATAAACTGGATTAGTGTTCAAAGACATAGTAATTGCCGACATAAAGCAGATGCAGTGACATTATGAAACCTATAGCATCTAGTACAAAGCAATAATTTATTAGCTAACTATTGCTAAGATAAGAGTAGACAAATTCAGTAACATTTTAGCAGAGTCAGGGCAAATGAGATCCTGTGGGGTTATCAAAAGGAATAATAAAAGGTTCTGCTTTTTTAAAAATAAAAATAACAAACATATCTTACTTACCTGCTCTGTGCAGTGTTTTGCACAGAGCAGCCCCGATCCTCTTCTTCTCGGGTTCCCTGTCGGCACTACTGACTTCTCTTCCTTGACCAGTGCCCCCAACAAGCGGCTTCCTATGGGGGCACTATTGCATGCTCACTCCTGATCCCTGCTCTATGCACCCATAAGACACAGTGCCGTGGCTTGGCTCCATCCCCGCTCTCTCCTCATAGGCGCAGTGGCTGTGACTGACAGAAGGGAGAGCCAATAGCTCCCACTGCTGTCTCAGCCAAAGAGGAGAGGGATTCCTGGGATAGCCAAGGCTCCCGTGCACACCTCTGGATTGAGAGGGTCCTCAGGTGAGTATTGGGGGGACTGTGGGTATTGAGCAGCACATAGATGGTCTTTTACCTTCATGCATAGTATGCATGAAGGTAAAAAAAAAAAAAATCAGCCTTTACAATCACTTTAAGTAGCCAGAGATTGCATTTTTATCAATAGAAGTAATTCAGACTTTAGAAGCTCTAAACATGGCTGGCAATTATGTATTACTGCACACCACTGCTCTCTGTGCTTGGTCGGTAGATATAACAGAGCCCAACAACCAATAATTTTTTTTAAGAGGAATAAGCATCATGGCTCCCTATGATCATTACTTTTCAACACCAACTTTAAAGGAGGGGATGGATCAAATGTTGAGAATTAACATTATTTAAATGTATTGATTGCAATGCAGAGTATAATACACACCTCCAGCTCCTCAATTGTGGTATTTTCCTCATGGACTTTCAGGTCATTCTGTGTATCTTCTTCTGTCTGTTCTTGACCAGCTACAATCTCATTAAGATACTGCTGATCGATCTTATCCAGAGCAGCCTTTAAGTCATTTCGTAAGCCCTAGCACACAAGATCCACACAAGAGAAACAATTTAGGCACTGCTCAACAATAAACATTTAAATGAGTTTAGTGCTAAATACACTGAGTTGTCATATTTAGAAAACGGATGATAAAAAGTGAGAAAACAGCACCCTCTGGTGTTTATAGCATATATGTCAGTAGGTATAAATCACAGGCACCCAGAGGTGCTTCCATGTAACTATAGCAATTCCCACCCCAAAATATAGGGCATTTAACAGTAACAAGCCTGTCAGGCTGAGGTCAGATCTACTCCTTGTCACCTCATGAGCTTCTCCATTTAATAGGGAGACTGCTGATCATAGTCATGGACCAATTAAAAAAAAAAAAATGTGTAAAGCACTATAAACTAAAGTCAGTGTCTGCATATACCATACAGCCCAGGTTTAATTGCTTCATTGCGTCAATTGTTCATGGATAAAATTAAGCTCACTTGAGTCTAGTAGTTGCCACCAAATAATAATTCTGAAATGCTCTGCCAGAACTGGCTAGAGCAAAAATGATTTTATAAGCAGATATACAGTGAAGGAAAGAAGTATTTGATCTCCTGCTGATTTATGAATGTTTGCCCATTCACAAAGAAATGATCAGTCTAAAATTCGAATGGTAGGCTATTCCCTATAGCCAGTGTTTGGGGACCAGATGAAATTGCTCCAGTGATGCACTTTTCCAAACAGAGGCGGATGTTCTTCTGTTCACCCATTGTCAGGTTAAAAAGGATGACACCACCAGGGCTATTACTAAATATTCTACATAGCACAAGCAAGTGAAGCGTATTATACAAAAAGTACTGGCACCGAGTTGCCAAACGTCAGCCACCTAACCTTAATGACTTGGAGAGGATCTACCAAGAGGAGTGGGCCAAAATCCCTCCTGAGATGTGTGCAAACCTGGTGGCCAACTACAGGAAACGCCTGACTTCTGCGATTGCCAACAAAGGATTTGCCACCAAGTACTAAGTCATGTTTTGTGAAGGGGATCAAATACTTATTTCCCTCATGAACGTGCAAATCAGTGCATAATTTGTTAGACATGCATTTCTCTTGAATTTTTTGTTGTTATTCTGACTCTCAGTGTTACAATACACCTATCATTCGATTTTTAGACTGATCATTTCTTTGTAAGTGGGCAAATATTCAAAATCAGCAGGGGATCAAATACTTATTTCCTACACTGTATGCCCTCCAGAATTCCAAAAATACACTACCTGCATAATATTAACAGAACATTTCTAATGCTTATGACAAATGCTGCGTCTATGGTCCTGTCTGAGAGACTGACAAGATGCAGCTACTCATCTAGCATTACAAAACCACAAAGATCACCCTCATACCATGTTGTTGAAAAATAATTTATACTTTGATCCAATTTTTTCTACAGCTATAGAAATGTGAGCAGCTCCAGCTTCCCCAGTGTTGGTTCTTACCATTTAACATGCCTTTCATTACTATACTTTGATTGAAGAGGGTTTCCACTTTTAAATAACATTAGTCTTTAAAGGAAACCTGTAGTAAGAGAATGTTGAGGCTGGCATCCTTGACCCACTCTTTCTGAAAATGCCAGCTGTGATGTTGTTCCAATAGCTCAATTACTTTTTAGGGCTTCAACATGGTATATGCTGGCTGATCGGGAGATCCAGATAAGGTCAGTAATTCAAAGCACTGAACACAGAGACAGCCAGACAACTAGTATTGATAAAAGTAGGTTAGCATTGGCAGCTTCTGCATTTTTCTTGTCTACAGGTTACTTAAAATTCAAACATCTTTCTAAAAACTGACAATTTGGTGAAAGGAAAGAAAAAATGGGGAATTTGATTGGATATCCTTATTTTATGCTTCAGTCTTGCTAATACTATTAATTTAGCAATCGCCTTGACTTTATAGCAATCGCCTTGACTTTAAAGATCCACTTTCCAAAAGGTTTTAGTGCTCTTAAATTAAAAAATTTTTTAATTCGGAACATAATGTATATAACCAAAAGAGAAATGCATTAAAGTAATACATGAATGAACAAAAAATTAAAATAATACATAACAAAGAATGCTGTGCAAGTCAATAAAGGTGAATCAAATCAAAACATCATTAGTCCATATAACAATTTATTAATTCAATATTACTGGAAGTGCTGGCATGAAAAATTATATACAAAAAAACGAAACAGTACCTTGTTCACTTCTGGAGCGAGAATTTCAATCTTCCTCAAGCGCTGGAAGGTATCATAATCAGTTTCCCCAAAAAGTCGAATAGGTTCACCTCTTTCTCGTAGCCTTCGTATCACCTAGAATGGGAAAAACATATACTATTTTGAGGGAACTCCACTTATAAAATCCTGACAATAACTAGACACGAAATCTGAAGGAACGCACAACACTCACTTTTATCCCTTTGAAAAAAAATCCAAAAACAGAATTTAAAAAAAATCAAACCTTTTGATATGGCAAGGGTTTGATGTAAGCATAACATACTATTTTCAAAGTACTTCAAGACACAGGTTCACCAACCTGAGAAAAAATTGATCAGCACATAGAAGAATGATGAGAAGGTACAAATAACAAAAGATTTAAAAGTCAGCAGGCAAGAAAGCTGACAGATAAATCTATAGTAATACACTTTTATTTACTGCACAAAAGCCCTATGTTATAGACTGTAATTCCCAAAACAAAAAAGACAAACCTAGCCCTGAGAACAGTTTATGGCTATCTTCAAAAGGGTTCACAATCTTTATTTCCAACCAAACATTGTGGGGGCGGGGGGAAATCACTTTATCTGTAGATGTATCCTGCATTCAAAGAAAAAACTACATCTGTATAATAAGAGTGAACTTGTACTTCACAATACACTTTTAAAAGAAAATGTCATGACACACTTGTATTATCTTTATCAGTCAGATAAGCGTCTTCTGTGCCCCTCTTACTATCACATGGGAGCACCCCTGCAGGGAAAAGAAACACTATTAATGTTCAGAAACCTGTACTGTATTGAAGTGTGTTTTAAAAAGGTTGTTCATGCAGGTTTTTGGACACAATGATGTGCGCTAAAGGCCCACTAAAATGAATGGACAAAAATGTAAAAAGTACAATAAATTGCATAACATCGTTGCATCGATGTGATAAAGTGACCCTGTCAGCACAAGATCAGTACTGCATAAGGAGACTGCATACATTTGCCTGTCCAGCTGCCAATTTCTCGAAAAGCCGCCACTTGACTGACCACCATCCTCTGCATATGTTCACACACTTACAAATGTGTGAATAACATATATTTGAATCACTCACTGTGGCTTTTCACACCAGCTCATACATCACTACAAGAAATACAAACTGTCAGTATCAACCTCAGCAGGGAGAGTAGGTATGCAATCCGTTCAACAAGGCAAATACTTGCATAGCAGTAAGCAGTTAAGTAGCATCTATTCAGGAAAGGGGCTGTTAAAAAGAATAGTAAAAGTATATCTAGCTTTCTTTTTGCAGGTATGTTTTACATACAAGTGGCCCTTGCTGCCAGGTAACTTTAAAGGTTTTGTAAAGGCTCAAGGTACAAAGCTTTCTGTGTGCAGCAGCCCCCTAAAACTTACCCGAGTCCCATCTCAATCTAACAATGTGCATGACAGCATCGGCTCTACTGGATCTCTGTCTTCTCAATGGCTTAGACAGCAGTGGTAGCCATTGGCTCTTGCTACTGTCAATCACAGCCAGTGAGCTAATGGAGAGAGAATAGGGGTGGGGCGAACCATGTTCCATGTGTGAATAGAGACACAGAGCAGCAGCTTGGGAAGGAGCCTACTCTGATGCCCCCCAGCATGTCGCTTGCTACGGGGGCACTAGGCAGGAGGGAGGTGCCTGGAGCACTGGCGGGGAACTCTAAAAAAAAGGAGAATCGTTGCTGCTCTGTGCAAAACCATTGCACATAGCAGGTAAGTATAACAGGTTTAAAAAGAAAAAGCAAACAAAAAAAACCTTTAATATCACTTTAAGCTGCTCTAGCCAATAGCCAAAAAAAAAAAGCCAATTTTGCTAGGTAGTAATGATATACAGAAGTGAGACAAGTAGGAAATACATATAACAATAAATAAAACAAAAATATACACTTTATTGCCAAAAGTATTGGGACACCCCTCCAAATCATTGGATTCAGGTGTTCCAATTACCTCCATGGCCGCAGGTGTATAAAATTAAGCACCTGGGCATGCAGACTGATTCTGCAAACATTTGTGAAAGAATGGGTCGCTCTCAAGAGCTCAGTGAATTCAAAGTGTGATACTGTGCAATATGTCCATCAGTGAAATTTCCTTGCTACTAAATATTCTATGGTCAACTGTCAGTGGTATTATAACTAACTGGAAGCAACTGGGAACAGCAACTCAGCCATGAAGTGGTAGGCCACGTAAAATGACAGAGCAGGGCCAGCGCATGCTGAAGTGCACATTGCACAGAAGTCACCAACTGTCTGCAAAGTCAATAGCTAAAGATCTCCAAACTCCGTGTGGCATTCAGATTAGCAGCACAACAGTACATAGAGTTTCCCATGGCCGACTGCCGCATCCAAGCCTTACATCACCAAGTGCAATGCAAAGCGTCGGATGCAGTGGTGTAAAGCACGCCGCCACTGGACTCTAAAGCAGTGGAGATGTGTTCTCTGAAGTGCCAAATCATGCTTCTCTGTCTGGCAATCCAATGGATGTGACTGGGTTTGGTGGTTGCCAGGTGAATGGTTCTTGCCTGACTGCATTGTGCCAAGTGTAAAGTTTGGTGGAGGGGGGGATTATGGTGTGGGGTTGGTTTTCAGGGGTTGGGCTTGACCCCTAAGTTCCAGTGAAGGGAACTCTTAAGGCGTCAGCATACCAATACATTTTGGACAACTTCATGCTCCCAACTTTGTGGGAACAGTTAGAAGATGGCCCCTTCCTGAACGCGCACCAGTGTACAAAGCAAGGTCCATAAATATGGATGATCGAGTATGGAGTAGAGGAACATAACTGGCCTGCACAGAGTCCTGATGTCAACCAGATAGAATACCTTTGGGATGAATTAGAGCAGAGACTGTGAGACAGGCCTTCTTGTCCAACATCAGTAACTGACCTTACAAATGCGCTTCTGGAAGAATGGTCAAACATTTCCATAGACAAACTCCTAAACCTTGTGGACAGCCTTCCAAGGAGAGTTGAAGAGGTTATAGCTGCCAAGGGTGGGCCAACTCAATATTGAACCCTATGGACTAAGACTGGGATGCCATTAAAGTTCATGTATGTGTAAAGGCAGGAGTCCCAATACATTTGGCAATATAACGTATACAATGTTTTCCATTATCTATTCATTTTTCTAGCAAATTTTTGTCCACCATCTACTTTGAGAGCCCACCATTAAAGGGAGGTATTGTTCAGTATGCAATGTGCATATAACGGAAATAAGGGGGCTAAGAATGCCAATCATGGGAAAGTTTATAGAATTCACAGGAAGTAGTAGGTAGGTGTTACTATTTTACAATCTATAACCCACAGGCTGTGGGCTAAACTAGAATAAAAAAATAACAAAATTATCATATTTCTTGTACCATGTTCCCTTTGCATGACATTTAACTACTAATAAGCGCAGAATGTTATTAATGTGAATTACCATGATCCTTTTTCTTCACTCTGACTATGGAAATGTGGCTTTTGCTGAACCAAGCCACCACAAAAAGAAAACCAACATCACGCAGGGCCAGCTGTGCATTCAGGCACATTAAAGATTATTTGTCAAGAATAACAATGAGAGCTGAAATGCAACCAAGACCAATAACTGAAGATTTACCTACATATTTCACAATATGCCAGTCCATAGTAACAAGGCAAATAAGCAAAAAATCCAACCTTGTCTTCACATACACAATACGTACAGCTTATGTCTACAGATCGTCTCGGCAATTCTCTCAAAGTGCATGTCAAGGCAAAATAATTATGAAAAAAAAAAACAATAAAACAACCAAACATATTTAGTACGTCTCTGGAATACATGCACATTTTCCCATGTTTTCTCCTTTAACACATGCAGTACTAAAAAATCACCATTGACAACACCCAAATTCTATTTCTCTATTTAGCTCACCCCTCTAGTCTCTTAATGCATCACTAGCTTACAAATTGAAAGTTTGGATGTCACACCACTTATTCAACCTTTCTAAAACTGAGCTCATTATTTTTCCTCCCTCTTATCCTATGTCCCCTACCCTAACTTTTCCATCCAGATCAATAGCACATCTATCAGCCGGTAGCCAGGGTGCTAGGGGTAAATCCGAGCTTTAACACTTATTCTCAACCTAACACAGGCCAAATCTAGCTGCCTTGACTGCCGTAACATTTTAAAAACTCGCCTGTTCTTCACCAATGAAACAACCAAGCTACTAATTTACTCCCTTATTATCTCTTGCCTCAACTACTGCAACTCCCTTCTTGCTGGCCTATCTCTACACAGACTCTTACCTCTTTAATCATGAAAGCTGTGGCCAGGATCATCCATCTTATTGCTCAGTATCTACCACTCCTCTCTGCCAATTCCTCCACTAGGTTCAGCTCTCTCAACTAATAATATTCATAATACAACATGCAAAGCCATTCACTATACCTACTGCTACATCACCAATCTCACCTGAAAATATAGTTCAAACTGTCTTCCTGGGAAGGTTCACTACTGTTCCAAGTTTTCCCCTATTTGCAGATAATGACTCTCCCCGTGGCTTGCTGCAGTCTCAAAGCCTTAGAAATGGCTTTGTAACCCTTTCCATACTGATATATGTCAATTACTTTCTCATCTGTTCTTGAATTTCTTTAGACCATGGCCAGATATGTTGCTTTTTTAGATCTGTTAGCGTGCTTCACTTTTTTCAGAAAACTCTATTTAAGTGATTTCTTGATTCAACAGGTCCTGCAGTAATCAGCCCTGTGCATGACAACTGAAATTTAACTCCACTTTCTCAAAAAATTAGGTTAATTACAGTTCATTTATGATCTGGGAAAAGGGGGGGGGGGGGAGTTATGTTTTCATGCAGGGCCAGGCAGGTTTGGACAGCTTTTTTCCTTTAATAAATGAAATCATCATTTAAAAGCTGCATCTTGTATTTACTTGGGTTATCTTTGAGTAACATTAAAATTTGTTTGGTGAACTGCATCATTTTAAGTGTGATATAACAGAAAAAAAAAAAAATCAGAAAGAGGGCAAATACTTTCACAGCACTGTAAACACTGCATATTTATGTGGAACATTCAATGTTATCCTAGGTTTAAAACCATTGCTATATGCTTGT